ATAGGGCGGAAAAACGCCGCGGAAAGCAGATAAGTTTTAACTTCGGTCTTGACTAGACGTAATTCTCAGACTCTCTCCTAACCTTATTCGATTTCCTACGTTCCACTATACGCTAAGTTCGAGCATTCGCGCTCAATTCTGGGACTTAGTCCCTACACTCTCATACCTTATAAGACCGCGCTTCACGCACAAGTTGTATTGAGATTTATAGAATAAAGGTAAGATAAGTTTAAAAGGGAACAAGTGTAAAAATCTGGAATCTCATTTCGTAATTTTAATCAATAAATCGATCACTTCTAAGATTCGACTCGCAGTTGTCGCTGACAAAGCGTGGCGATCTGTGCTGGGGCGCTGACGAAGAGTGTGGCGATCCAGTACTTTCGCTGCCGAAAGCGTGGCGATTACGGGGTTGATTCTTGGGGGTCGTAATAATCACTGTCACTTCTGGGATTCCGACTCGCAGTTTCCGCTGACAAAGCGTGGCGATCTGTGCTGGGGCGCTGACGAAGAGTGTGGCGATCCAGTACTTTCGCTGCCGAAAGCGTGGCGATAACGGAGTTGGTTCTCAGAAAAAGATAATAATTTCGACAAATTCCCGAAAGTGAATTTGACCTCTACGCTGACGATCTGAGCGCTGACGAAGAGTGTGGCGAGCAGAGGGTGTGGCGGATTGGTTTTGAGCGCTGCCGAAGAGTGTGGCGAGCTTAAAATTCATTTTCGCGAACGCGGCTGAATGACGAAGAAAGGAGGTAGGCGCGTTCGTATTAAACGAATCAGATTCCAGATCAAGCAAGCAGTCATTAATAATCAAGATCCTCTCCCCTTCCTCCAACAATTGCAACAGCTGGAAAACGCACCCTCCTTTAAACCTATTCCTGTCGATTTCGACGTTGATTATCCTAATTATAACCAAATAAATAAAACTGATCCTCGTTACCATACGTATAAACTTAGATATCTTTTCGGTCCCGAATAGTAAATATAATAATAATATCCTCCACACGACTTGTCCAAATCCCTGGTAAATTGCTTAAATGCATTGACCAAAAAACGGACGAACTATAACAGTCAGAACGTGACAATATAATAAAAAATTGTACCTTTTATACATATATTTTAAAGAAATTGTTCATTTATTCAAATATATACATTTTCATGAAAAAAAAATTAATTTTTATGATTTCATGATCGTCTTTTTAATCCGATAATTTCTTCGCGTAAACGGGATTTTGTAGTAACTTACGATAATTTACTCCGCGTAAACGAGTGATATATCGTAAGTTACTACAGAAGTAACGCTCGCGTAAACGTAGTAAATGTTGTAAGTATCTCAGCTGGTCGAATAATCCTTGACAAGTATCTTGCATGAGACAGGTAAAAAACTATGACGGCTATATGCGAACAACACCCTATAGTTCTGTTACCATTAGCGCAGTTACAGCAATAACGTCTGACACCGTTGAGTCCCACACTATCAGGTTGATATTGTAAATAAGATTTGTCTTATTTGTCTTATTTACAATATCAACCTGATAGTGTGGGACTCAACGGTGTCAGACGTTTATTGCTGTAACTGCGCTAATGGTAACAGAATTATAGGGTGTTGCTCGCATATAGCCGTCATAGTTTTTTACCTGTCTCATGCAAAATACTTGTCAAGGATTATTTGACCAGCTGAGATACTTACAACATTGTTTGACTTCAAAGAAGTAACACCAATAATTGAGGAAGATAGTGACGAGAAGGATTAAAAAGACGATCATGGAATCATAAAAATTAATTTTTTTTTCATGAAAATGTATATATTTGAACAAATATTTGAATATTTCTTTAAAATATATGTATCCCAGCAAACGAAAAAAGATTGAAAAGAATTAAAACGGGATTGCCAGGAATTCAATTAAGGACTTTCCGAATTCCATTCTGTCCAAAAAAGGGATTGAAATAGTTTCAATATCATGGAATTCCTTATTTTGGAAAGAATTTGTCTTTTTTGAATCCCATCCAATTTCGACACAAAAATATTATACCACTGAATGCCGTGTTATTTTTCCTTGGCTTCTCTTACTAACACTCTAATAGAAATTTTATCGTAATCTGGATATTGATAAAATTAGGTGGTTAATTGCAACGCGTACTTGGACGATGGGTGCACGAAGAATCTTTCCATGTTGGGATGAGCCAAATTTCCAGGCCAATTTTACTATAACTATAAAGTATGCCATGCAAAATACATGGCTTTTTCGAATGTGCCGATATCCACATCAATGATTGTAAATCATACTACAATTACATCTTTCAATACTACTCCAGCAATATCCACTCACCTTATAGCTATTGTACTATTAGAGATGTGATTTTTCCACTTCTATTGGAAACAATAATTGGCGAGGCAGGGGCCAATCGATAAGAGACCAAAGTTTTGCGGGCAGCGTTGCTACAACTGTCACGTCTTATTTCGAGACTAATTGGAAAGAATTGCATAACTTTTCGAACGTGTAACACGTCGCGATTCCAGGTTTACTAGATGACGGTATGGCAAAGTGGGCACTCATATTTTATAGATATAGTTATTAAACACAAATATTTTAAAATCACGATTAGACATGGATCTGTGAAAAGATGAGATTATCTTTTTGCTCTTATTAAATAGTTAATACAATTTAATAGTTAAATATACATTTAATAGTTGGAGAATCTGTATACATAATCTTTACAGAGCTAGATAGACTTCGGCAGAAACGTGTTATTATCCTAACAGTACATGATACATCATACTTTATACATACATAATTGTTAAGGACTCGGGTTGGTTGGTATATCGAAGAGTAGACGTAAATTATTTTAAGCAATTTATTGTGACAAAACTCGAAAGAACGGATTACACACGACTCGTCGTATTGGCTTGCTGAACCGAACTGAACTCGTCGCACGAGCGACCTCGCCATATATTCTACAAAACCTAGAGAGTTGTTATAACTAAAAATTCACTATGTCCCTAGGGAAAAGCTTACTGTGGCTCACTCTATCGACAAGAAAAAAAATCAAATACGAAGCGGGGAAATACTCAACATCCTCCCACCTTGAGTTGAGAACGGGGGCAACTCAAAACACAAATAAAATTGATCAGAAAAAAAAACAAAAAGAACATTACACTGAATCTTATAAGTCCAGTCTGTTTGGCGCGTTTACTCGTCGTCCACTTCTGGTACGCACTTCCAATTTCGTTTGAACTTCTGATGACGTATCTTCCTTATCGGATTCATCGACTTCTTCAATCTTCGAAGGAGAAGGTTGATCTTCCGGGAGAGAATTCTCCTCAGATGATTCTTTAGTTTCGTTCGCCGACTTACTCAACGCCTCCATTTCGCCCGGAGTCGAAATCTCCAAAGGATATAATCGCTGAACAGGACGAACGAGTTCCCCATTTGCAGTTTTAACTCGCACTACTCGTACTTCGCCATCCCCGCCTGATCTCGATGACCCGTCCCAAGGGCCAATCTAGGCGCTTCTGACTTTCGTTTCCTATGAGAACGACATCTCCTATTTTTATCTTGATTTCATCGTTACTAGAGTAGCTCGCTCTTGACAATTGCCCTAGATACTCCGACCGGAATCGACAGCGTAAGTCTGCTCGAAGCTTCTGACGATAGCGTAGTCTCGCCTTCAGGTTGCTTTCTTCGATCTGATCCAGATCCGGCAATCCACTTTCTTGTACATCTTGAATAAACATCGACGGAGTTAATGGGGCCAGCTGACCAGAATCCTCAGACAGGTAAGTGATGGGGCGCGAGTTTACAATAGCCTCACAGTCACAAAGCGTTGTGTATAGCTCATCTGACGTAAGACAGGCTCGTCCCAAGACCTTCCGCAGTATCTCCTTGACTGAGCGGACTAGTCTCTCCCACCATCCGCCCCACCATGCGGCGGAGGGTGGATTAAAACGCCACTCTATTTTCTTTACGGCGCTATATTCGGTGATCCTTTTCCAATTAATTCCACGTAACAGATTGCCTGTCCCGGTGAAGTTAGTGCCATTGTCGCTAAACATAACTGACGGTCTTCCTCTGCGTGCAACAAATCGTCGAAAAGCCTCCAGAAACGCCTCCGTCGAGAGTAGAGTGATCAGCTCGAGGTGAACCGCTCGATAAACCGCACACGTGTACAGACAAATCCACGCCTTCTGTCCGCCTTTTAAATACAATGGGCCAGCACAATCGACTCCTGATACTTCGAATGCAGCAGCGTCTCTTGTTCGTTCCTCTGGAAGGATTGAAGGTGATGCCTCAATTCTCTTGGCATTGTATCGTTTGCATATTATACACTTGGAGAGGACGGACCGAATTGCTCGTCGACTAGATAATATCCATACTTGTTCTCTCAGGCTACTCATCACTATCTGCATGCCGGCGTGATGAAGCTCTTGGTGTTTATGTTGGATTAGTTTTCTGACCAGAGGATGCCGTGGTTCAAGGACTATGGGGTAACAGAAACCAAACTGATCTTCTCTATTGAAGATCAGAGTCTTCAAGCGAATAACTCCAGCCTTATCCTTAAACGCCTTCAGACAACTGATTCTTGGGTCCTCGACACCTTCGAAAGACTCTTCTTGAGATAAACGCATCAGTGTTAATTCAGCTTGACTGATTTCTTTTACCGACAAAACCTCGGATAGATGACGAATGCAGTTTCTTCGGCATTTTGTGACAAAACGAAGGATCCAGGCCATCACGCGCAGAATTTTTGTGTATTTGGAAGATCCCTTAAGATACCAATAATCTTCTACTGTCTTACAAGTATTCTTCATTGCGAGTTCGTGCTGGATAGATGCCTCGGACTTCTTTATCTTGATCGCGGACTTTTTAATTTCTCTATCGACTTCTGACTCGTCCACGGTATATTCCGCTGAGGGCCATTGATCTCGAGACTTCTTTAACCATTCCGGGCCCTCCCACCAGCGGGACTCGAGGAGCTGCTTCGCACTACATCCTCGTGAAGGTACGTCGGCAGAATTTATTGTTCCGGGTACGTGATGCCATTGCTCAGGTTCTGTAAGTTGACGAATTTCTTGTATTCGGTTCCATACAAAAGTGGCTCATTGCTTATTTCGTTTAATCCAGGACAAAACCGTAGAGGAGTCACTCCAATAAAATTTCTCCGGCTGCTCTCTTTCCAGAACGTCTAAGGAGGAATCCATTAGTCTGACACCAATTGTGGCTGCAAGAAGTTCCAGTCTATTTATGGTCAATTTTCCCAATGGAGCTACCCTCGCCTTGGCCTCGATGAGTTGCACCTTGACTCCTTTTGAGGTCTCGGTACGAGCAAAGAGAACTGCTGCATAGGCATCTTGGCTGGCATCGACGAAAACGTGTAAGGACGTCGAACACTCTCTCAGCTCATCTCCAAAAATCCATCGGGGTATATGCAACTCTTTTAGGAGCTTTAGTTGTTGGTGCCACTCTCGGAAAATGTCTTCGATCTCCTTATTCACCTCTGTATCCCAATCCAAATCCGTGGACCAGAGTTTCTGCAATAGTAATTTTGGGCGCAGCAGTACCGGACACGCTAGACCGATCGGATCGAATATCTTTTGCGCGGCTGACAAAATGCTTCTTTTCGTTACCTTTTCAGGTAGAGGTTCCTCCAACGCAGCCTTTGTCAGCGATAAGGTGTCCTGGCCTCTATTCCACGTAAGCCCGAGTACTGACGAGCTGTCCCGGATCAGCGTCGGATCGGAGTATTCCCAACCTCTCAGAAGGAAACCGCCGGCAGACATTGCATCAGTAGCTCCCTCCATGAACAGCTGCAATTCTTCGTTGGAGTCGACGCTCGTCACACAGTTGTCCACGTAGAACGACTTCTGAAGTTTCCTGATGATGGCACGCTGTTCATCTGTAGTCGCTTGTTGTAGTGCTCGCTCCAGAAGCAGTTCAATAGTAGCACCCAACAAAAAGGGACTGCTAGACACTCCGAACACGACTCTACAGTGTCGGTAGACCGTTATTTTCGTCGGATCTTCTTTACTCCACCATAGAAACCGGAGCACATTTCGTTCCTTGGGCGACACATTAATCTGAAGAAAAGCTCTTTTAATGTCAGAGATGACCCCAATCCTTCTTTCTCGGAACCGTAGTAACATTGTCGGGATTAGTTCAATGAGATTTGGTCCAACTTCCAGACATTGATTCAGTGAAGGCGAGTCTATCCCTCGTGCTGAAGCATCGAAGACTGGTCTCAGACTGGTCTCAGAAAATTATTCTCTTTTAATACGTGTCTGTGAGGTAGATAATAGCCGCTGTCATTTACTTCCGGAAGAAGCACTTGTTCGATGATTCCCTCAGCTGTCCATTCTTCAAGTACTCGACAGTAGTCTTCGAAGAGGTTGTCCGATTTCAATCTTCTAGTATTTATTTCCAGTCTCTTGATTGCCATTTCTTTGTTATCCGAAAGAGGAGGATGATTCTCCTTTCATGGCAGGAACACTTCATATCGTCCGGAATTATTCACCGTAACCGTTTGGCGGAAGTAATCTTTTACTTGTTCTAGTTGAGCCTCTTTAGTTTTTGCTTGGACTGGATCGGTAATACCCAATACATCCAGCCTCCACAGATCCGAAACCTTTGCATCCCGGGTGAACATAGAGACTGTCAATAGTGCTGGATCGACACGAGAGGTCTTTTCTTGGACATTCTTGCCCATGACGGTCCATCCAAGACGAGTTTCGATCGCTGTTGCTCCACATTCAATTTCTTGTAGCTTGCCTGTTAAAAGCTTACCCGCAATGTCCGCTCCAATGAGAATAGAGATGGGTTCGTTTACTTGACCGACATCTGTCAGTCGTATTCCTTGGTGAGATAACTCTTGAACCCAAGGACCTCTTCTTATACCGAGGATGTCTTGACAAATGGTCTCCTGACCCAAGGCCTCAAAATTACAAGCATACGAGCCGTCCAAGCTGCTGAGTCGAATACGGTAACCTTTGTGCTGCTGGGGTTTAGTTTTTACACCTCCAAAGAGTAGATGAACTATATTATATTGTCCGATTTCCTCACAATCCAACTCCTTGGCTGTTCGATCAAGAACATACGATCGATGTGATCCTGTATCCAATACTGCTCGTACGACACGCTCCTTTTCTTGATTTCGCATTTTCACACGAAGAGTTTGGAGAAAAATCTCTGTACTCAGCGAAAGATTCGCCAGACTACTTTCCTCTTGTTTTTTGGTCGGCTCTTCTGTCGGATTTTTCTTCGTCGATCCCTCAGCAGTTATTCCTCGACACATGAGTAGAACGTGTCGCTTGCTGCACCAGGCACACTTGATATTGTATCTACAGAATCTACGGCCGTGTCCTGTTTTCAAGCAATTGAAACATGCGTTTTTTTGTTTAACAATGTCTTGTCTTTCTTCCAGAGACATCTTTCTCGCCCTTTCACATTGCGAACTGTCATGTTTCTCATTGCAGAAGATGCATTCCAATACTTTGCTTTCTTTTGTCGCGAGGAGTGCGGAAGCCGTAACAATTTCATTATTGGAATCAGCCTTTTGCTTCTTCTTTAATGCTGACTGCTCTTGCTTTAAACCAAATCCACTAACTGCCATTGCGATTCTTTCTTCGTTCTCCACTTCCGCTTGTAAAAAGGCCATTAAGTTTGTCAGTCGATCTTTCGGAGTAATAACGACGGGCACAGCCGAAGCACTGTCACCTAATTCTCTCGGCGCAATCTGAGTATGCCTTTGCCACGCTCGCAGCAAATCTTCGGGTAACGAGGACTCCACCAATGGATACAGCATCGCTGCGCATGTATCGGTCGTCACACCGAGTGACTCGAGAGATCTAATGTGTGTCTCTAATTTATCATAGACACTGGTTAATGACACTTTTCCCTTCGGCGTTATCGCGTTATTCAACACTAATTTCAGTAATTCACGCACGTAAACTTCGACCAACAATTCGTTTTTCCCGAATCTACTTTTTAGGCTAGCGATCACCTTGTCATAATTGTCAGCTGTCGGTGGGTAACTGTTCACTAATTCACTGGCTCTCGTATCGGGCACCATCGCTTGGAGCAGATATTGGAATTTATCTACTTTGGTTACGGTTATGTCTTCATGTATATTTTTGAACTGGCTCCAAAATTGTAGCCATTCTCTTACGTCACCGTTGAATTTCTTTAATTCGATCTTAGGTAACTTGAACGTGCGTATGTTCTCATGAAAAGGCAGATTGCTGTGTCGGTAATCTCGTACCTGCATCTGTGGCATTGTGTTACGTCGCTGCGACTCTTCCTCTATTCTTGCGACCTCTACCTTCGCATGTTGATACTTCTTCCGATACTCGTCGGCGTGCTGCACCTCTTGATCCATTTCTTGCTCTGACGAATCTTCAACGGCCATTAGCTCGAACATCTTTTGGTTCAATACTTCCATCTCACTCGCTTTTTCCCGTAGCAAAGCAAAATTTGCTTGTATTTCTGTTATCTGCGGGCTTTCTTGTGCGAGTTCGGCTCGTAGAGTCGTGAGTATTCGCGTAAAGGCACCACGCGTCACGCCTCGCGTCTTCTTGATGCGGTCGATTGTCCGTCACAATTTTTCGATACACGTACTTTTCTTCTGTTCTATTTACCGCTACAACCAACGAAAGTCCTGTCACGGTCGCCAGTATGTTAAGGACTCGGGTTGGTTGGTATATCGAAGAGTAGACGTAAATTATTTTAAGCAATTTATTGTGACAAAACTCGAAAGAACGGATTACACACGACTCGTCGTATTGGCTTGCTGAACCGACTGAACTCGTCGCACGAGCGACCTCGCCATATATTCTACAAAACCTAGAGAGTTGTTATAACTAAAAATTCACTATGTCCCTAGGGAAAAGCTTACTGTGGCTCACTCTATCGACAAGAAAGAAAATCAAATACGAAGCGGGGAAATACTCAACAATAATAATTTACTAGATCGCAAGCAATCCAGCAGGAAAACATGCATCGTGTGCCACTGGCACTAATTTCGAACGTACGTGCACGAGGCTGCCGTTGGTCGATTATTTATTGTTCTACTGTTACTTCGATGTCTAAAAGATGTTATTACAAATATATATTTATTATTATTGTTCTACGGTTACCTCGATTTCTAAAAGATATTACAAATATATATTGATCAATAATTAAATATGATTTTCACACACAGTTCTTTTACGCATATACCTTCCACGCTGAAACCTGAATGTGACGGGCGTTTTGTCGCGGATGTAATTGGTTCGGACGATTTGTCGTTCGGATCATTTGTCTTCTGGTTTTTTCGTCTCCGGATCAAACATCGCGGATCATTTGTCTTTGGGCCACCTGTTACGACACCATATATATATATATATATATATATATATATATATATTTATATACAAATTTGAGCAATGTGATATTTTAATAGTAATAGATTTAAATATTATTTTATTAAACTGCACTCCATTGTAAGGGAATTTCTTACGTTCTATACTAGCAAAGCAAAGTTATAATTATCACAATTTAAGTGAACTTAATTGTATATTTTTTGGAGAGGAATACAATAAATTTCTTTAAAAATATACGATTTTGCAGATGAAAATATCAATTATGAAACCATCAGTATTTTGTCGAATTATTCGAGAAGCAGTGCAGAATCTTCTTTATTTTTCCAAATAAAAATTGCATTTATTTTACAAAATATTTTTATATTTTATATATTATATTTTCTTAATTCTGATATAAACATGTAAAAAAATAATGAATATATTGTATTTATATTTTGATAAATTTTATCTTATATTACTTTTAAAGAATTTTATCCTATTACTTTCATATATACATCCGACAAGAATTCGACTACTTGCGTATAAATTTATGTAATTACTTTTTAATTCTCGGGATATGATAACCGGATTAATGTTGATCTGTACTATTAACCGAAGATTGACAAACTGCTTAGCAATACATCTATACATTCATTAGATTGATTTTTGCTGCAATATACAATATGATTATTATATATTTCAAGCTAAATGAATGTGTTAGAACTTTATTCAGGCATATGAATAACTTTGATTCTTCAACGGACATCATTATTACATAACAATATGGCAAGTTGACGGATTAAATAAAGAAAACCATACTGTTTCAGAAATTGTGTATTCATTCTATTAATATATAAACTATTCTAAATCATAAAACTTTTAATTTCTTTGCTGGTCTATCAAGTGTGTAAATCTTTTTTAAAGATGTTGCAAAATAGCTTGTATTTATTAAAAATTATTATAAT